ACGTAGCATTTTACTGTCGGCTGTTACTAAAAAATTTTTTTAATTTGACAATTTTATTTGATATGTGTTTCAACAAAATTTTTGCGTTCTATCACATACTACAAACTGTTCACAAGTATTTAATTGACTGGGAAAAAAGAAATAAGATATGATTATTGGTCTCACCTTTTGAACACTTCTAAAATGGCTTAAAAGTTATAGAAGCAAAATAACAGAACCTATCAGCTTTGTGTGTGCCGTTTTACATAACTTTATATTAGTGATCGACAACCAAGCTATTTTTTGCTAGTAAGTTTCTTAAGTGCAGTAAAATAAAACAGTTGATTGTGGGCCTCTAGCCATTTGCATTTATCCGGACTGGACTCTGCCGAACAACTTGCAACTATTTTTATTGACTGATTACGGAGTCGTTTAGAGTTTGAAGAAGGAAAAGAAAAAACTGTGGTTTTCAAAAAATTATACAATTATATAACTGAACCTTATCAATACGTAAAGTCTGATGTTAAAGCAACAGTTCATGATGGTCAATTGGCAGTAAATAACTAACAGAACGATAATGGCAGTAAAAAAAAATAGGACTCTCTTTTGGTAGACAACACACTTTTGCTGTTACATACCAAACGTGTTGTAAAAATAGTTTATTGACTAAAAGCTTTGTACGATTCTAAAGTAAATGCCAAGCAAGGAAATGATTTAAAGTCTAAACCTCAGCACTGTCACTGATAGTCAAGTCGATGTCATTTTTTCGTTAGCAAGTCGAGGAATAAGGAAATGCGAGAAAGAATAAAGAAGCTTTTAGAGTGCTTGTCCTACATTCAAATTCTCTTCTTCACTTCTGTTTCAGCCGTTTTCTGTTTGAGCAGTTGTCATACCTGGTTTATACTATGGTTCATTCTATCAGTTATAAGTAAAAATTTTTCTTCACATTTACAAAGTACTACATCTGCAAAAATTAATACCTTGGTCGAATTCAGCAACATTAATTTGTCATCAGAATTGAATGATAAACAGAGTAGTCAAGAAAATAAACTGACGTTTCTATTTCTTCTTCTTCATCCAATTGCATATAAGTAACCTTTGGACTATTTTAGAACTGCTGTAAAATTTTATTACACTGTTATAACACTCTTTTTCCACTAATTTTTTTCAAAAAACTTCTGAATTGCATTTGTTTATCAACAGTTTGTTATCAGTTTAGAACTGTTGATATATTGAACCTGCAAAAAAAAATTTTTCTTTTTTGCAAAAAAAAAAAAATAAATGCTTTTGAAACATTCCTCTTTTTTACTGCTATCGACAACTTAAAATAACTGAGGAGTAATGAGGAGTAATACAGCAAAGTTTCTTTAGTCGTTTTGTGTCAAAATTAAAATGCAAAACAGCTACAAAATTGGTTGCATCAAAGAAAAATAATAAGTAAATAAATAAAGAAAAAAGCTGTGACAAAGAAATACGATCAAAAAACAGTCTTTAAAAAGAAATAAATATTTCTGTGTTTTTAAGCCTTAATTGCTACTTAGATGATTCTAAAAATTTGGGTGAAACAACTAAGTGGTTATCTAGTTAGTGTTCAGTTCATCAAACTTACGGATTAGCGTAGCCAGCCAGCTGGTTTTCAGAGCCTAAGTGTTGGTCGTCAGTTTTCTTCGTGCGACAATAAACTAACCGATATCAACAAAAAAATGCCTGAAAATATTTTCAATATTAAAGGGTATTAATCTGTTTCTGTTGTTTCTAATAAATGCCTTAAAAAATTTAAAAGAAGTTTGCAAGAGGCCATTTGGTGATAAAAAATGAAAATTTTTAAGTCATTATTTTTTACTCTGTGGTCATTTGAGTCTGTAGAAGTAAAAAGTTCTTTTATGAGGATTATATCCTAAAAACCTGCATAATTATTTCATTGGTTTCTATTTTTGCCCTTTCCCATTTTTTTCTTTGAATTTATGATTTTTTTCTTTGAAAGTTTTCAAAGTTATTTAAAGTTTTTTACAGTTAAAATTTTTTCTTGTTTTGTTCGCTCCCTTTTTAGTTGTGCTTTTTGCTTTTTTTGCGAGTTTATGCCAGCTATTCCAGATTGAAAAAAATTTTTAGTTTTTTTTAAGCAAATCACTGTATCCAAATGCAAAAGATGCATTACTAAAAAGTGATGTAAAAAAAGCAAGAAAAAAAGAATGAAATGAGTAAGAAAAGAACAATAAACAGTCAAAGAACAGTTGATATAAGGGAAAACACAAAGAAAAATTTTAACGGTAACTATGTGCGTGTAAAATAGATAGTTTTTTGGTATTAGTTCAAACATTTTGTCAAACCAATCGGTGACGTAATGCTTCAATATTAAAGCAGATCAGCTGTCGTCAGCTTTCGACCAATAAATATTCTGACTGCTGTTGAAAAGATTTCTGTTTTAAACTCACAGTAAGTATCCAATTTTGTCAAAAAACTAGCGTTGGCACTTGAAAAGCTATAACACAATGTGGCCATCAGATTTGGTTTTCCTAATATTTAAGGGCAAAGAAGGATGACAAGACGTAATAGCCAACTGACTAACACACAATATTCCTGACTGATATATGACAGCCACTGGACAGCATTCCCCTCTGAATGGAAACCAAAAACTGCAGAGTTTTAATGAAATTTTGGCGTCTTGTAACAGCGCTGCTGACATTTGTCTTTTTTAAGAACATCTTTGTTACTCGTTAAATTTTAAATTTTAGCCATTATGTAAAACTGCAATTAAAAGTTTATTCTTCTGATTGCAAGCCTCCAAGACTGTTTCGTCAAGAAAAACCTAGCACTTTTACTGCTCTTTGTTTGATTTATGAAAGGGAAGTGGTGATGTCAAAGAAAAGTGACAAAAACTTTTATAATGTTCGCTGTTGGTGATCAGAAAATGTGATGAGATTAGTCTAGTTATAACACCTAGTTAATTTTTCAAAGGAACGCATAAGTTTTGTGCTGTAAAACTTTTGAAAAGGATATTGTCGTTTTTTGTGTTCTACCGATCACTATATAAAGAATGGTTTGCTAATACATTGCTTTCAGTTCGTTGGTAATAACTGCAGTAAACAACAGAACAGTACAGAACAGTCGGTTTTCTTTCTAAAAAAAACCCGCTAGATTAAAAATCATTGAACTTTTTTCTTGCTTAATTCTTACTAATAATTTTGTGTCGAAAAGAAAAAAAGGTAAAGAAACGAAAAAATTTTGTAAAAATTTACATTTTCAACAGCAAAAAGAATTGTTTTCAGATATTTAAAAAACGGGTTTTTTTTGTATACCGGTTAAACCAAATTTAGTGTATTAACACTGTCATACCTTTATCCAATTAAAACTTGTATTTTATGGTACTTTAGTTGTGTTGGCTTGACGGTAAACATAGGCGCACTTTGTCGATGAAGCAATGTGTAAAATAGATAACATATTTTTAGCTCTTTTTGAAAAAATTTTTATTTTTATTTAGACAGAAAGTGGTAAGCAGTTTAATAAGTGTTTTATACTGCTGTTAATTCTTTATTAATATACAATAAAACAATTTTTAAGTAGAGAATAAAAAGAAAATAAGTGAGAAAAAGAATTTTTTTGTGCAAGGAAACCTTACTGATATAAACAAACACTTTTGTTCTGCGTAAACTTTTTAAAATTTTGGCAGAAGTGTACCAAAAAATAAGGCTGTTCAGATCAAATCACCTAATGTTCTCAACTACTCTTAAAACTCAAACAAATTGTACAAATCTCACAGGTTAACAGTTACAGATCTAAAGATTTTCTTCTGCACCTTTTCATGGTACTCCATTATGGTGCTACAGATACTTTGTTCGCTATTATTATGATTTATTTTTTGTTGGTTTTTTTTACCTTTCTTTTTACTCTATTATTGTTCTCCTTTTTGCTAAAAAAAGAAAAAAAGACCATTATTTTTAACTGATAATTTATTGTGGTTTTCTTTTCAAAATTAGATTCCTGTTGTTAGTTAACTATAATGTTGTAAATTTGCTGTTGCTATTGTTTTTGCTGGTTATAATAATACTGCTTTTGTCAGCAATAATGTTACTTTTGATCTTTACGAAAAAGCTCTTTATTTTTTAAAAATATTGACGCGAGGATAACCACCATAGAAATAAGCGTTATAACAGTTTTCTGCCTGTGTCGTGGTATTCTTTTGTTTTGCTAATTAACAAGATGAAGTTTTTGAAGCAAGTTTTAAGTATTAAATCAGTATGCAGACCTTTTAACGTTATTTTTTATTGCTTTAAATGAGACCTGAAGACGAAAAGAAAAGGAAAAATAGCCATTTCGAGAGGAGCTAATTTGGACAGCGCTTACAATTTCGTTTTACCAAGTTAGAAGAACACCTGTTGCAAATTTCATATTTTAATGATTTGTTTTTAAGGTTATCAAAATGATTTTTTAGTCTTGTTCTACTCTTTTTTATTGCAGGAAAGGCGTGAAGCAGAAGAGTGTTAGGTTTAAGTGAACAAAATTACTGGTATTCTTCACTTACTTGTTCTTTGTCGCTTTCTTCTTTTTTTTTTAAGAAACTTATAAAACAGGTTTAGTAACAGCAAAAAAAAAAAGCAAAACAACAAAAAAAGGCAAAGCTTAGTTGCCAAAGTTTTTTTCGTCATTTTTCTTGTTCAGAGAAATTTAAGAAAACTAGCTTTTTTCTCCTGTTGTTGTCTTCACGAAACTTCATGTCAGTAGGTTTTTTTTGCTTTATTTGTTATCTGAAAAACAAAATTTTTTTGACCGAATCAAATTGATATAAACAATAAAAGCCAATTTTTTCTCTTTATCAATTAAGAAAGTAAGAAAATATAAGCAAAAATTTTTCACCGATTATTTACTCCGATTCTTCAATTCTATGTTCTGCCAAACTTTAACTGTTATTCACAGCAGTATAAATAAATTTTCTGCTTTAATGAAATTCTGTTTTATTGTAATTTGACTATTGATTGCTGCATTTACCGATCACCTAGTGATATAACAAAGAACCAACATATATGGATGAACCGGATGTCCAAGTTCAGCAAGTCGATAGCCAAAAAGATGATGCTGCGCCACTCAGTAAGTTTTTTATTTTGACCTTTGATTAATAGACCAAATTTTGACCAATAAAGGTTAAATAATTTTCAAAATTATCTTCAGCACGGCATATTTTATCTACATCTTGTTTTCAGTATCAGAAAATAATTGTAGCAAAGAGTGTAGGTTTATTAAATGCTGCTCAAATTTATGCTACACTCCTTTAACTTGCTTTAATTTAGTATAAACTGTTGTACACAACCCTACGCTAATATAAATCTTTATCGTGTGTCATTTAAAAAGTTTTGCTTCCACCCTTAAAACCTAAAAATTTATCGTAGAGTAATGAAGCGAATGGTGACATGACGTTTCCTCGACTTAAGCCCTTCCATAGACTTTATTTTATAGAAGGCTTAGTGTAAAATCAAAAAAATCTTTTAAAAAATTTTTGAGGTTTTGCTTTACTGCAACCATTCCGTAGAACAATAGTTTTAAAAGAAGTTAGGATCAGTTATCATATAAATAACAATTACAGACAAATCTGTTCAAGGGAAATAGTTGAAAGTCACACAAGCAAAAGACTACTCCTGGAACATGACTACGTTTCGTACCGCTGAAAAGTGTTATCAAAGAGTGTTATCAAAATAGTTTAATTTTGGTCGTCCACTATTTTCATTAAATGTTTTTTGCACGAAACAAGGTGGAAAAGTATCCAGCAGTTTCAACAAGCATACAGAAAGGCATTCTGTATCATAAAAGATCTGTGTCTAAATTGGTTCATTAGTACAATAAAAGAAAGGGAAAAGTTAATAGGTTGTTCTCAGAAATTTAGCAAACCTTCTGTGGCTTAATGCCAATTTATTAACAAACTTCACCGACTAAGCAACACGTTCTGTGGGAAGTGGGTTTTCCTGGGTGTAAAAAGGAAAACAGCGTGATCGTGAGCCTTAAAAACTATAGCCTTCATTCTTCATGGAGCTCGTTTTCTACCGAAGAAATAGAAAAAAAAGTCACAGCTTTTGGCGAAAAGGATCAAAGTTTATAAATCAGCAAATTTCACATTAAAATTAGAATTTAAACGAGTGAAAAAAAGAAAAGTAACAAGCACTGCAATTTTTTAGAATCGGGTGCTAAAGTCCGATCTACAACGAAGCCTGCACAAATTTTGGCAAACCGACTAGTGTATACAGCGCAGTTACCTCAACTTACATTAGATGAGGTCAAGAGAAGTTCCTCTGGAGACTGCTGTAGTTCACACAACAGCTTCATTAGGCCGGGTCGATTATGGCGTATTATCAGCATCAAACCAACGCTAAACGACGACGACTGCGACTTAACATCTGACGATGATGCCATTTCGACAGTAGGTATTCAGCAGGTTTGAATCCAGCGACAATTCATAGTATGCGTGTCGACACCTAGTTAGAAGGTCACTATATATATAATTAACTCCTCTAGTAGGTTGATATCAATAGAATTGTCAGTGCTGTTTTTGTTGTTTAGCAGCGTATTTTTCAGTATATTGTTCTACTCTTATGCTTTTTTTCTTCTGGTTCTTCTCCTTATTTTTTATCGAAAAATTGTACATAGCCACTTATTTTCTCACTTCAGTGACATTCGACTTTTGAAGTGTTTTTTTTTTTTTACTGTCCATAATTGTTACTGTGAAAATTCTGTAACGTAGTACGGCTAGAATAGGAAGAAAAAAGAAATAACTGTAGAAATTTGTTTCTGACTACGGAAAGCGAATGTACCCACAGCAATATTCGAAATCTTTTCCTCACAACTCTTCTGCTAAGAATCATACCAATAAGCTTTTAAAACACGTCTGTGCTGGTTCCCTTCATCTAATTTTCTTGCCGATTGGTTCTAAAAAATGGCACTATTTTTGAGTATTTGAAAACTGAATAGCAATTACTAGTTTCAATGCTGAAAAAAATAACCTTTGAGAACCTCACAACATTTATTTGATATTTTTGACGGTTCTTTTTCCTTTGCAGCAATATCAGCCCGGAATTTACATCCTGGTTATGAAGTTGACTTCTACGTAATTAGTCATTTTGCATATCTTTTTTTCCTATTCCACAGCTGTTTTCTGAAAGGTATTGATAAGTGAACGCAAATTTGTTCTATCTATGGCTATTTGTTGCATAAAATATAAATATAAATAAGAGTTTGATGCAACACAGGTCTAAAATTGTATTACTTACAACATGATGTACCAACCAAAATTCATTGTAAAAATAGGTAGTAGATGACGAAATAGAAAAAAGGAGAATATGAAGCAAAAGACTGACTTATATAATATGTCAATGGAACCGTTTAATTCAGACGAAAAGAAAAAAGAATAAACCACTATTTGAAATAGTCTAAAATTCATAGTTGATACAGTAAATTTTGAGCATATACCAACCATCTACCGATAACGGCAACATACTGCGAGAATCACGATTAACCGCTGAACCACATATTTGTTCCACTACAGAATTTGTTAGATTCAAGTATACCTGAATAATTTGGGGTGGTAGATTAGAATAACATTTAGTTTACAGCCAGTGATGAATAACTCTCATAGGCCAGGAATTCTGTAGATTTTGGTTAAAGTTTGATAAATTTTATAATGCGGTCAGTAAATCTTCGAATGCAGTGACTTGTGCTGTATTATTTCTGTAGTACAGAAACTTTTAATTGATTCAACTAGCTTATTTTTTTAAATGAATCACCGATAAAAGGCATTACAGTTGTTTAGGCTATAAAAGACGAAAAGCAAAAAAGTTTTGGTTAGTAAGTCAATATGTCGCCACTAGCAAAAACCTCAGGCATTACAAACTGGATCCTTCTTTCTAAATAATCGCAGTGTCAACTAATGCTCTAGTAGTTAAGGAAAATGAACATAAAAATTAATTTGTCTTATGGAACATCGAGATTAATAAATCAAATGCCAGCTAAATGCCGAAGAGCTTTGAGATAGCCATTTATGGAATTACACATCATATCTTTATAACTTTGACGCTATCACATAATTGCTGGTTTTATGTGAATCAGTAGTAATATTAAAGCGGTATCTTGAAGGAGCTGTTAATATTACAAGTATGATCCACAAATGTCTTGTTTGGTGCTCCTTAATGCATTGCGTGTGCCTATCTGATAATTATTCTGCTTTAGTTAAATGACGTAAATAAGTAAACAGATGGAGGCACCATATCTTTATTACCTTCCTCGTCCCATTTTTTCCAATGCCAATCACAGCTAAAAGAAAAAAATGTTCCTTGTCCACAAATACTTCACGGTTAACATAGAGAAAAGTAGGCACCAACAAAGGAAATTGCTGTTTTTTCCCCTTTTCCCTCATCTGCAGGGCGCGTCTTACTGAAGAAAGTCGTTCAGTATTTCAGGACCATCACTGAGTAGCTGGAGATAACATGCATCCAAAAGAATATCATGAATCCGGCCACTGCATTAAGCTTGATTTTCTGACTGC